GGACACATGCCTGGGTTGCAGGCCGGGTCCCCAGTGGGAGCCATGTGAGAGGCAACCACACATTGATATTTCTCTCTCTTTCTCCCTCCCTTCCCTTCTGTCTAAAAATAAATAAATAAAATCTTTACAAAAATTTTATTCATAAGACTGACTAGGATGGTTGGCCTGTGGGCACAAGCTCGCTCGCTGTGGGAGCCGACTCGGAGAATTCGGTTGGACGCGCGGATTACCGCAGGCTCAGGAGCACGCTCCACGGCCCTGGGCTTCTGCGGTCGGCGGGGAGGTGGCACCAAGTCGCGGTGGGGATTTTGAATCACACGGATCCTCTGGCTTCTCCGTGCTCTGCTGCCTGAAGTGTCTCTTCTCTGCATTGGGGAGAATTCCCGTCGGGCAGCAGCAGTTTTAACGCACTTGTAAGATTAAATAGAATAAACGTCGTCACTTGGTACCCAGTGGAGAGGGATAACTGGAATAGTGGGCGGTCCCACGGAAACCTCACTTTACCGGTTGGTTCCCACTGTCTCATCGAACAGCCGCCTGTTTCACGCTGCCACCCAGGGACCACGTGCTCCCCTGCCTGTGCGCTTTCCACTACGCAGCACAATGTCCACGCCAGGCAGGGGAGCAGCGGAACCGAAGGCTCCGCTCTCAGGCACACCGTCCCAGGCCTGACGTCTGGGCCGCAGGGCCGTCCAGCCCCGGCCAGGTCCCGATCTCCCCGGCCCCCGGGGCGGAGACGGTTACACTGTTACAGAAGCAAGACGTGGAGACACTGGCGGCCCGGCACTCTGAAGTCTCGGTGCAGTCCCCCTAGGCACGCCGCAGCCACCTGGGCCCCCCCGCCCCCGGGGTTCTGGAAGCCTGCGTCCCAGCGGTCACCTCACAGTTACGTTTCGGTTAGCGGTTTTCTTTGGGGAATTGACCAGTCCCACGACCTCGGGCAGTGCATTCAATTTCTCCATCCCCAGCTCCCACAGGTTCCTTTGAAATGAGGGTCACGACCCTACCTTCCCCCAGGGCCGTGTGAGCATCGCGTGAGGTGGTCTGCAGGGTCGGGGGCGGGGGAGGCCCTTCAGGGGTGCCTGCTCCGCAGCGCGTCCCACCCCGACGTGACCCTCGCCCGTCTTTGCGAGGCAGCCTCACCTCCCGCGTCCCGTGGTTCCCGTTTCCACCTGGTCTCCCGTTCTGGCGGCGACGTCAGGGCCCCACGGGAGCCGTCCTGCCGCGCGTGGCGTCTGAGGCTGCCACAGAGAACGGGTGCAGCCACTTCCGTGGGGGCCTCCCGTTGAGTGACCACGTGCGTCCTTGGTCCTTTCCCTCCTCGTTGTCCAGCAGGCCCCTGGGCACGCCCTCGCCCACTGCGGCTGCACAGGGCTGTCAGCACCCCTCTGTGCTTCAGAGTGAAGCGCACCAGAGAGGAGACAGTGCATCCCTTCCAGAACTCCCCTGTCACCAGACACCAGGGCTGGCAGTCAGGGGCCCTCCAGCTGTCCCGGCTCTGACCCCAGCAGCTGAGTGCTCCCGTCCCCCTCCCGGCCACGGTGATGCTGGGTGTCCTGGCATCAGGGTGATGCCACAGGCTGACTGACTGATGGAACTGCACACACTGCAGCCACCCACTGACCCTTGAGATTAACTGCAACTGCTTCCCAAGGAAGTTCAGGCTGTGAAATGACAGGTGGGAGCCACTCACTTTAAACATAGAGCAGAAGCAGCTGCATGCTCACGCCCAGCACATCAGCACCGCCCATGTGTGCGACTCGCTGGGCAGAGCCGGTGACGCCGTGGCCCACCCGCCGGCCCCTCCTGGAGCCCACAGCCCTCGGGGGTGAGAAGGAGCAGGCCGATGGCTCTCACTGGGCCCTCGGGTGGCCGGGTGTCTCACGTGCAGGCAGCCAGGCTCCTGACAGCACTCTGAGCTGCTGGACTTCACAAGATGGTCTCGTTGGGGAGGACAGTGTGAACTCTCCGTGTTGTGAGTGAAAGGGCACGGGGTCAGGATGTCGTCAGGAGGCAGACAGTGAGCTGGGGCTCATGATCAAGCCTCTGGACACCCCAGCTCGGCGATTTCCCCCTTGGGTGTAACACGCGCTAGGGAACAGATTCGTGGAGTGTGGTGACCCACCAGGTTGGAAGTGGGAAGATGCTCAGTGTGGGGCCCTGGGCTTCAGGGGATGGAGGTAAGACACCTGGAGAGGGGGTGGGGAAGCTGCGTCCCTGCGGCTCTGAGGAGCCAGGTCACTTCTGTCGTGAAACCCCCAGGACGCGGGTCCTGGGAGCCGGGGGGCAGCCAGCAGTGACCACGCGGCTCAGGCTGGGCCGGGGCTCCATTTCAAGGGGCTCTGCTGCAAGTCACCTGATTTGATTTTCACAGCAACTCAGTTGGATTCCTGGGGTTCCCCGAAAATTTTACACTTTAATGATTTAAGAAATGTTGGGTTTTTTGACAGTTTGATATTTTCCTATGCATCCATTCATGCTGTTTAACACATTCATCAAACCGGCTTGTGGTTGTGTGTAAGGTGGCGGTTGGTGGCAGAAACCTGACCACATCTGGAAAAATCCTGCCACTGCTCCCTGCACGGCCCGGCCTGTGCTGGGAGGGATGAGCTGAAAGGCAGAGGCCTCACCTGGCCGCCGCTGCACCAATCAGCCTGTAGCTGAGTTGGATGTCAGAAGGGAGGCGGCCAGGCCCTCAGGAGCTGCAGTGGGTCCAGGCAGGCCCAGGCCATGGGTCCAGGACTTGGGAGTGAACCCAGGGGGGCTTCTTGGGGGAGTTGGGAGCTGAGGGGAAACAGAAGGAGAGGCACCTGGGCCAGGGCCATGGATGCAGGGCCTGGCCGGTGTTTGAAACACGGTGTGGACCACAGGCTTGGACCTGGGTGGGACTGGTCCAGGGACATTCAGGTTAGAGGTCGGGGTGGCCAGGTCCCTGTCGCCTCATCAGCCCATCACTCGCTGTGCTGCTCCTTCTTGGCCACTGCCCTGTGCCGGGCCTGCAGGGGAATAACCACCACCCGTGAGAGTCCAAGTGCATGGAGCTCAGAGCTCCACACCGCGTCCCAGCAAAGCCCCCCGCCCCGCCTCACGTCACTGTCCACGAGTCCCAGAGCAGGGTTCCTGCGGCAGAGGTTCCTTCTCGGACAGACACTCCCAGGCTGGCCTCCAATGGACACGTCCTCGTGACACCGGGCAGCGGCCAGCACAGACACCGTCCCAGCAGGGCTCACTCAGGCGCAGGTGTCCCCGGGGCCCCGGCCGGCTCATGGAAGCAGAGCTGAGACCTGGGGCTCCAGGCCAACAGGCAGGGGTGATGAGGAAGACACAGTTTCTCCAGGTGGACCCCTTCCCCAGTCGGCATCTGACCTCTTGTGGGGCTAGGGTGCTGGCTCTGAAGGGTGTCCTGGGACTTCCTAAGTCGGGTGGAGGACGAGGTCGAAGGGCACACTTCCAGACCCCATATGCACACCTGTGTAAAAGCATTCTCCTTTTGCCACATAATGTGAAAAACCGCTGGAGAGCTGTGTTTGGGAGGTTTGCGGAGGACCACCCGCCCTTGACCAAAGGGTCCCCAGCCCTGCAGGTCACTTGTTCACTCACAGAGCAGGCCAGCAGGGAGGGCAGCCCTGGACCATAGACCCAGCTTGTGCCCATTTCCCACTGCCCTCTCCTTTATCACCTTGTGGAAGAGCAGCCTGCTGGCCCAGGGAGGGCTGGGAGCGCCTGAGGGGGGTGTGCAGGGAGGGCTTCCTGCCCCGGGCATCAGCGCCCCGACCGCCGCGCGCATCCGTCTCGCCGTCCCAGTCCCCTCTCCAGCAGGGGTGGGGCGTCGGGGCCCTCAGGCGCTCACCCTAAACCGGTCACCTGCAGCCGTCGCGTCCTGAGGGCCTGGCGCCAGGCCTGCGGCACGTGCGTTCTTGGTGATACTGTTCCACCCGCAACACGGCTCCGTTTTTCCTCACTGGTGGCATCTGCCTGCGTCCCCGCTGGACAGGGAGCCGACCTGGAGGCCGGGCTGTGGACTTGGTTCCTGGGCCCCCAGGACCACCTCACACCTGCGGGAGGTGCGAGGAGGGAGGCACGGGCGCCTGTGGGGTAAAACCGTGTCGATGTAACGATCTAACGGGACCGTCCTCCGAGGCCGCACGAATGGCGGCTCCCAGGCGACGTGCGACCTGCAGAACCGGGGCTGGGATTCAGGGTTTGTCATCGGACCTTGGACTTACCTCTTCACCTGCAGCCGCCGTGCCGGGGGTGGGGGTCATTCTGGGATGTGCACCCCTTTTACAGAGTCACCGCCGGGTAGCCATCCGCCCGTCTCCTCCCTGACCCTTCAAGTGCAGCATTTAAACGTCTCCTTGTTGGCCCCTAACTCACTTTAGAGATGGATCCATTAAAAAATGTGTCTCTGCCCCGGCCGAGTGGCTCGGTTGGAGTGTTGTTCCGTGCACCAAAAGGTTGTGGATGGATCCCAGGTCAGGGCGCGTACAGGAGGCAGCCAATCGCTGTGTCTCTCTCACACTGATGCTCCTCTCCCTCCCTCCCTCCCTCTCTGAAATCAGTAGACGTGTCATTGGGTGAGAATTAAAGGGAATAAAATAAAAAATAAAAATGCGTCCCCTTTGCACATTTGCCTTCCCATCCTGAGGTCTGGTTGTCAGCATCTGCTCTGTCCCCTCCCCCGCCGCTACCCCCTCTGCCCCATTTCGCTCCCACCGAGGCCGAGATGAGCCCGTTGCTGCATCTCAGGCCCCTCACACATCCTAACTATCACCGTCGCACTGGATGGTTTGTCTTCTCACTGGAAAACCCAGGTGAGTCGTCGTGGCTGAAGAAACAGCTTGTGCCTATTGCCCCGAGAGCTGGTCTCCGTGGCAAGAACACAGCAGGGTGGCTGCCAGAGTCCCCAGGCCGGGTGCGGGCTCAGGGGGCCTCAGGCCCTGCAGGACTGACGAGTGAGTTCCGTGTGGTGACACTGCCCCTCTCTGCTCTCCCCACAGCCCCCTGAGCCCGGAGAAGGGGGAGGAGTTGATAGAGGACATCACCCGTCTGCTCAAGGTGCCGACGAGCGTCGTCACGGACACCGAGTGAGTGCGGGCACGGGGTCCCCAGGTTTGATTCTCGCCCACGTCAGGCTCTGTTTCATAAATTGGTTTGCAAGGGAAGGAGCTGTGAGCCTGTGGTTCCCGTTAATTACACCAGAGAGAAACTGTTTCAGAAAGAAATGAAAGGAAATTCCAGTGGGGTTGGTAAGTTATTTAAACACAGCTGAAACCTGAGTGTAATTATAAGAATTATAATCAGCAAGCACAGAGGCCCACTGGGCCATGGTTCCCAGCCCTGCAGATCCGAGGATCACCTGGGAGGGTCTGGAATGTTCTATGGACCTCGCCAGCCCCATTGCCCATGAGTCAGCGAAAACTTGGTAGCACTTGGTGGGTGGCTGCAGGGTGCACGGCACGTTTTGATGGGATACAGGGTGCAGACCCATGGCCCGTGCATGGGGGGAGGCTGGATGCCACGGCCTAGTTCTTGAAACGTGTAGGAGCATCGAGGGCAAGCACCACGCAAAGGGGGTGCCTGAGTGGGTCGCCGAGTGCAGGTGGAGGCGCAGGCGGACGGCAGGCCCCCGTGGGGAGGTGGGACGTGAGCGGTGCGGCTGGCGAGCCCTGCTGAGGTCGGAAGTGGAGCTGAGCTGAGCACCCAGAGGTGGGAGCGCGGACACAGGGAGCCCCACCTGCAGACACCCAGGCCGGCCCAGGGTTTACTGAGCACCTTCCGTGACCTGGCTGCGGGCTAGCAGCAGGGCCACGTTGCCCGGCCAAATGGCTGGCCACTTCCTGGGAAACAGGTGCATCTGTGGGCAGTAGGCATGAAGGGTGCCCAGAGATGGGAGTGAGGAAGCACCTCCCCCAGCCTGGGGCCCAGAAGCTTCTGGAAGAGGAGAGTAGCTGACGTGCACCCCCAGCACCCAGCATGGAGCACGGGACCCACGCAGTGAGCATTCTGAACGAGGAATTCGTCACTGGGCCCAGAGCCTCAGAGAGCTGGGGATCTGTTCCCCTCACTGGGCACACACACCTGGTGCACAGGTGGGCTGTGCAGGCAAGGTGCGCTGAGCGGTGGGGAGAAGATGGCAGACTGTGCACGCTCAGCGGGGCCCAGGAGAGGGACTGGTTCAGACCCGGAGGAGGAGCAGCAGCCTGGGCTGCGGCTCAGCCAGGACGGCAGCAGGGAGAGGAGGGTTTGCAAGATCCAGGCGAGGTGGGGACAGGGACCTGGTGTGAGGTGGCTGCTGCGGGTGTGTGGTGGAGAGGCTCTTGCCTGGGAGGCAGAGCAGGATGGACACAGGGACGCTGGCGGGCTAGGGCAGGACTGGGCCGCACCCTGCAGGGACCCGCCAGCTGGCTCCTTCTCCACCGTGAGAGCAGGCGCCGGTGGGGTCACGGAGAGGAGTCCTGGGGCCCTGGGCTGGCAGCAGGCCCTTCTCCCGGCTGGCCATCTGGGCCTGGGGGACGACAGGGATGCTGGGCCGCAGGGTGGTGGCAGGGCGTAGCTGCCCCATCCGAGGGGGACACTCCCTGCTCGGTCCCCGGGCTGCTGCTGCACCCTGGCTCGGGGCTGGGGTGCGTGGCCTTCAGGAAGCCGGGGGCTCAGGGGAGGGCTGGGAGCATCCTGGCTGGTGGGGTCCAGTCGGAGGGGTGTCCCGGCCCTCCTGCCATCCCGCTCATGCTTGGAGCTGGATTCGGGTGCTCTGGTGCGAAAGGCTTCCCTGAAGCACCCCCGTCCTGGCCAGTTAATGTCTGTACTGCACCCCAGGGTCTTCCATTGTTGTCCATGTGAACACACACATACGTGTATGCATACGTGTGCGTGCACGTGTGTGGTGTTAGTGTTGGCACTCCTGAGCCACACGCCCAGGGTCCGCACCTGTGGGAGCCCAGGACCCAGTGCCGACGGCAGCTCTGCGGACGGACGGAGCGGCCGGGGGAGGGGCACTGCGTGCCCGGGGCGCCGCGGGGGAGGCCGAGAAGCCGGCCCTTCCCGGGACCGTGTGTGTGTGTTAGGGAAGTGCTAGTTATGCTCAATGTGCTTCGTTAATGGTTATGTAGCTGTCAAGCAAATTCCATTATTTCTTATTACATCATTAGAGACCATTAAAACGGCATTAGCATGCTGATGTAATTATGCCGGCAGACGCACGGCGGCCACAGTTATGACTTTATAATCTAATCACGGCCGTCCGTGTGGCTGATGGATGCCGGGCCGCGCCGAGCACTCAGGCAGCGGGGGCACGGCGGGACCTGCTCCGGCGGGCGGTGGGGACCAGCGTCGCACCGCTGCCCGCGCCTCGTGAAGCCTCCGGAGCAGCCCCACGCAGACCGGGCACGGCCACGAGCAGCCGATAGCCCGATCCTGCAGTCAGTCTCTGTCCACTGATCAGTGCCCTTCGAGCGGTGACAAGGGCCACTCCCAACAGAGGGGACTCCTTCTGGGCTGGGGAGACGCTGCGCTCACTGCCACCTCGTGTGAGGCCCTGGCGGGAAGACGGTGCTGCCCGCAGAGCCCGGGAAGTTGGGCAGAGAGCTCCCGGGAGGGATGGAGGGCCAGGTGTGGCTGGGCGCCCAGGCACAGGGCCTGCAGAGGTGAGGGGACACCAGCCTGGCCGTGGGCAGCGGGAGTGGGGCTGCTGGAGGGTCCGGGGTGCAGCCAGCCGAGGACGGTGCCTCCGGGCTCCGCAGCCAGGAGAGCAGGGCGGGAGCGGGGCTGGAACCTTCGCAGCGGGGACCGAGGACCGAGGATGAGGGCAAGGGCACCTTCCAGGAGTCTCCACAGAAGGAGGCAACTGTGGACCGAGAAGGCAGCGGGGACCTCCACAGGCTGGACCGTCCTCACCGTGCAGAGCTGCGACACCGTGGCAGGGGCCGACTCGGACGTGCATGGTGGGCTGGCGGCCAGGGAGCCGTGAGGACCCGCACACGGGGCCGAGACCCTGAGTTACGAGTGGGGTGGCGTCTGAACCCACCAGACCTCGAGAGGCGCCTGGGAGGGCAGCGGAGTTGGAGGCGGCAGAGCCCCCAGCAGCTGTGGGCCCATCCGCGGGACCCTGAGCCTCAAAGTGGGACGCGGGCGGGAGATGAGGCCAGGCAGGCGGTGGCAGGTTCTCCCTGCGCGTCGGCGTTTCCTGAGACGGCCGTTCTAATTTCTACGCCACGTCTTCCTGAGCGTGGGCTCATCCCTCAGTGGGCTCCCGCCCTTGGGTACTTTTCCTTGCAGCATTCTTACCATTCGTGCCCTTTAAACGGTCTCACGTAAACATGAAATCGGCAGAGAGCAGCAGCAGACAGCGTGGCTGGTTAGAAGGTGCTGTGGCACCGCCCCCCACCCCGTCGCGGGTATTGTTTTTGTTTTCCGTTTTTTCGTGCGGTTCCTTCTCAGTGTTCCAGCTGATGTTTCAAGGGACAAAGTAAGGGGGCTTCTCTCTACATTTTGGCAAGACAGTGCTGGCTGGGGTGGGGCCTCGGCTCGCCAGACCGGCTCGGGCCGAGTCCAAGGCGCGTCGCTGGGGAGCAGGCGCTTCGGAGGAATCTGGAGCCCCTGCCTCCTCGGCGGCCTTCTGCCCCCTGAAGCGGGTTCCTTCCCGAGTCACGCATCCTTGAGGGACGTTCCCACACGGACGTCCGAGGAGGTCGCACTGGGAAGACTGTCCCCGTCTGTGCACGGGCTCCTCTGCCTGCAGAGCCGACCCCAAAGTCCGCTCAGCCTGGAGGGTGCCGCGCGTGCAGCACCTGCTCCTGAAGGGCACGCGGCCTTCAGACGAGGCAAACTGTTAAAACGTGGTGTGTTTTCCACACCAGGTTCAACGCAGTGCTTACAAGCTTCGGATTTTGAATAATTGCTGTCTGCCAATTCCCCACCAGTTGTCTTTCTAGCGAATGTTTCCTGACAACTTTGATGAGTTTTTTAAACAGGTGCTGGCAAAAAGATTTTTTAAATGCCCGTCTCTTTGCTTTCTGCGTTTGATTCATTCTGCCCCCCTGGGGATCAGCTACTAAAACCTGTTTCCATAACAGTTTTCTTCCTTTGCAGAATATCTGCTTGTCGGGGTGGGCTGTTGGGGCTGAGTCTTTCGCAGGCACCCCTCTCGGTGGAATGGCTGGAGCGTGGAAACAGAGTCACAGTGTCGAGAACACGCTCGCGAGTGGGGGCGGTGGCCCCGGGTGCACGTGTGGGACACAGAGACCTGGCGGAGGTCACACATGGGGTGGGTGCACGTGTCGGGGTCCGTGTTGTGCAGTCCCCGCGCTCCCGCAGAGGCTGCCCTGACGCCCGTTGGAATGATCTCTTCCAGTGTCCTGGGACCGGCAGTGACCTTCAGGGTGAGCCCCAACGTCCAGAACGTGACGACGGCGGATGTGGCGAAGGCAGCAGGTAAAGCTAATTTGACATGACACACATGCACATGCACACATGTGCACACGCATGTGCATGCATGCACACACCCCAGAGGGGGCGTGGGGGAAGCATCTGGAGGGGAGGCTGCGGTTATTTCTCCTGTTCTCGCTGGAAAGCCCGGAAGAGTCTGAGGGGCGTGGGGCCGAGTTTGCGTCTCAGTGGTGATGTGCGCTCGTCTCTGGATGCTCAGAAATGGGTGGTGGCTGGGGGCGAGCTGCTGGAACGGTTTCCGCTGATGGAAACCTGAGGGTCACCGGCGGGGAACGGGGACACTGGGGCACGGATGGGGGTGGTGGACGGTGGTGAGGAGCCGGCAGGAGGGAATCCAGGCGCCAGAGGTGGAGGCGGGAAGAAGCTGGGGCACGGGTCCTGTCTGCCTGGTCAGCAGGCGGAGGGTGTTTGCCGCGGCAGGACCACTCGGCGGGATGCGTGCAGGGGACACGGAGACCGCACTGGGGGCCCGTGAGGCGCCGGGAGGGGAAGAGGTGTCAGCGCCGCCTGCAGACTCACGCTGGAGGGGCACGTGCCGCCCCGACGCACCTGCTGTCTGGGCAGGGCCGTGGCCCGGCCCCCCAGCCCCCGTCCAGCTCCCCCTTTGCTGAGGGTGGGCTCGTGTGCTAAAGGCGCGGGAACGCTGGTCTGCGGGACGGTCGTGTGTCCAGTGAGCGGCACAGTCCTGTGACGGCTCGGGGGTCTGGCCCTCGCTGAGAGCGGCTCCTCCCTGCCGTCCATGACCACAGCCCCGTCGGGCCAGCTCAGGGGCCGGGGCGCAGCTGGTCCCCCTTCAGTGGCTGCGACAGCTGCTCGTGCTGGGAGGTGAACGGCACGTGGGGAACTCGGGCGACAGCCATGTCCAGCGATGGGGACATCCCTGGCCTCTTGGGGACTCTCACCAGCCACCCTGGCTGTGTGGGCCCTTTGCTCCTCTGCTTAGCAGACACGTGGGGCATGAGTCCTTCTGAGACACCAGGGACGTCGTCGTTTCCACAGCCATCGTAACTCTGGGCTCAAATGGCATTTCTCCTTGCTCCTGTCACCTTACCATGAGATCTTAGCCCCTTTGTGCTTGTAAAGACATCGCTTCAAGATGGCGTGAGGGAGGAGCCGGGGGGGGGTGGCACCTGGGAGCCAGGGTGACCCCACGCCAGGGGACCAGAGTCCCGCCACCCACCCCCCTCCTCCACGGGGCTGTCTGAGTTGAGGGGATGCGATGCCTGTCGGCCGTCTTCTGGGATTCCCGCACACACCAGTCCCCATGGCAACCGGCAGGCGAGGAGCCGCAGAGCAGGAGGAGGGTTCTCAGTGGCGGCTTCGCGCAGGCCCAGGGCAGCGGCCTGGGCATGGGCTGCACTGGTCGCTCCCAGAGGGGCGTGGGTTAGGGTTAGGGTGGGCCCTCCGGACTCATCAGCGCCCAAAGCAGGTGGCAGCTGTGCTGAGCCAATCAGATCAGCGAGCGAGCGGTCACCTGGCCCAGGTGGGGCCCGCACGCTCCCCGGCACAAAGGCAGGAAACCCCCGCCCGTGGGGAGGGCTGCCGTCAGCAGCCCCCGCGGGCCAGGGGGCCCCCTTTCCGTGGCTGCCCACACCTCCCCGCGGCACAGGGAGGTGAAGGCCCCAGCAGCCTGTTCTCGAAAACGAGCCTGCTGACTCAGGGTGGGGCTGGCTGTCCGGCCCCACGTGCCTCTCCACGGGGAAACGCAGGGCGCACCCGGCTCACTCCAGGGTGACCCTGTTGGTCCCGCGTCGTCGGACCACACCTCTCAGAGGCGACCACACCACGTGCGAGCCCACAAAAAACACAATGGGCTCCAGTGGGCGACCTTTGAACCCAGCTGGGGAGCTGCACCCCGCGCTCCCTTCAGCTGAGGGCGGGACAGCGTCCTGACTGGGAGGCGACACCTGTGTCCTCGTTTCAGGGACGGGCTACAGCGGGTCGCCCCGAGTGACGAAGGTTCCCAGCCTTGTCTGATGTCCGCTCTGCTGGGTCAGGGCAGCTGAGGTGGGGCCGGACGCGCAGCAGGGTCGGGGGTGGGGGGGCGGCACTCAGCGCCTTGTGACTCTGGGTGACTGTGACCCGTGCCTGCGGACGCCTCGCTCGGTCTCCTCCAGCTCCCGCTCCCCGCCCCCATCAGCCGGGGCCGGTCATCGTGCGCCGGGGGGCGGCCTCAGGGCCCGGCCAGGAAGGGAAGACAGGGGCGCGGGGCCCGCAGGTGGTCGGCCGTCACAGCTGCGCCCGGCTCCCGCCAGTCCGTGTGCCCCACAGCCTCACAGCGACGTCTCCCTCCCCGGAGTTCCGCCCGCAGCCCGGCTGGCGAACAGATAGACTCCCTTCTCTCGGGTGGAACCTGTCATGTGGGGCGAGTGTAGGTGGGCCGTGAACGGATCAGACCACCGCGGTGTGCACCGAATGCGAGACCTCAGGCTCCTCGGCTGGGGTGGGAGGTGCGGGGGTGCCCGCCCCGCCCCGGGCTCCCTCCTGCACGAGGACCAAGCCTGACCTTGGGGTGCTGGGGTGCTGGGGTGCAGAGGTGCCGGGACGGGACCTGAGGGCAGAGAGACCCGGGTGCTGAGACCCGGGAGACACTCCGCAGGCAGGAGCGCGGTCCCGGAAGGTGGCTCTGGAAGGGGCGTCCTCCCTGCAGGGCCTGGCTGAGTGGAGTCCACCCCGAGTTGGTGCGTGTTACCCCCAAACGCAGTTTGCACGCTGCCGGCACCTCATCTCACTGCCGCCGCCAGCGCGAGAAGGCAGGTCCCAAAAGGGCCGTTTGCAGCAAAGGCGGTGATGTGCTTCCCTCCGGCGTAAAGCGGCACGAAGTCTCGCCGACTTCACCACCACACTCCCCACCGAGGACCCACGGTGGTCGCCGAGGCTGCCAACTGCGGGAGGAAACCTGTCTGCAGGGAGGCGAGTGTTGACGCCCACCGTCTGCGAGTTCCAACCTTCTCACCTCACGGCCCGTGCACGGGCTGACTACGACGAACACTCGGCGGCACACCAAGAAACACAGCTTTGCCAGCCTGACAACGGCAGCATAGTTTTGACGCATTCGCGTCGATGGCTGCTGTCATGCTGGCTGCTGTCAGCTTTTAGTCTCACAACCAGAGGGAAGAGGGTCAGCCCCCACCGATCAGCAGGCAGGTGTCACACCTATTAAACGTTCCGGCGGCGCACGGGGTGATGACCGCTGATCCGGTCCAACGGGGATGAACTGGGCTGGGCGTCCGCGTCCGAACAGTCACCAGGTGCGATGGTGTGTGCGGTTTGATGACATTTCAGCGAAAACAAGGACCCGCCAGCAGCTGCTTCCTCGTTGAGGTGGCCACTTCTCGTCTCCGCCCGAGCTCGGAGCACGGTGCTGCTGCCAGCGCCAGCGCTGGTTGTGCCCTCAGGGGCCCTCCCCTCCCCCGGCCGAACTGCACCTGCGGCCGCAGGCGCCCGCGGGGCTCCGGTGGTGGCGGCCGACCCGACTCCGCGTCGCTCCATTGTTTTAAGTGTTTCCCTCCAGTCACCCCCAGGCCCTGCTTTTCGAGGAATGCACTTAAACTAAGGCTTCTCACCTTTCCGTCGCTGTCACGGTCGCACGTTCACCTGCGGGTTTTCCGCTCTCTGCTGAAAGTCCAACGCCCGTGAGCCGTGAACACGCCGGCGGCGGCCACCGAGGGTGAGAAATGCCTGGGAAACCTCAGCACCCGTCCCCGGGAGCCCTGCAGGAGACGTCGCCCTGCATTAACTCTGCTGCCTGACATGACCTCTGAGACCGTCTCCAGGTCGGGGCCAGGGACCGCCCCTGGGTCCGAGATTCCGCTCATCTGGCTGACAGCCCCCGTGCGAGGGGGAGTCTCCCGCCAACAGCTTTTCCGCAGAGACAAAGGGGACAGACGTCTCTCTCCGTCCCTCCCACATGAGGGAACAGAAGTCCCCCTTCCCCCCCCTCACCTGGTCCCCGGCAGGCGCGAGCCCAGCTTTCCTTGGGGGCTGCACGGCTGCGGAGCTGGGTGAACTGGCAGCTGGTGCAACCCTGGGCTCCCCTGCGGCCCTGACCTTTCCCTCACACTGCCGCTGCTGGTTAGATCCCAGAGGAGTTACCTGCCAATCGATCCTCGAGGGGTGCCCCCCACCCACCATCAGATTCCGCCTCTCGGCCAGTGTCTGTGTGAGAGAGCGTCAGCTTCTCTCTGAGCCCCTCCCCACCTCTGCCCTGCTTCCGGGCAGCTGCTCTCCTGGACGAGGGCGCTGGGGACTCGGCACCAGGTCTGCGGGCAGGTGGGTGAATGCCAGCTCTCCCTCCCTGGGCGCAGCTCGAGCTGGGACGCGGGTCGGTCCACGTGGGTGGCCTGTCCTCGGCGGTGTCTGCTGCCCAGGTGCCCGGGTCGGGTGGGGACACGGCTGTGCTGATGGGCATTTCTGCTGGAAGACTCAGCCTCCCTTGCACGTCGGGCAGCAGGAGTGGACGTCCTACTGACGTCCCCGTCCCCATGCCGTTGCCCACGTGGGTCTGGACACGGGACGACATCGCCAGGGAGGATGAAGACTTGTCTGCCCAGGGCGTTCACACCCTGCATGGTTCACTCAGACCAGGGGCGCCTCCCCTCTCTCTCCCGGCGCCCCCCCACACCCCCCACATTCCTGTCTCTGCCCTGGAGTGGCCAGTGCTTCCAAGCTGAAGGATACTAGAGCCCTCGTGAACGTGTTTTGTTTTGAATGGAAATGTGAAATGGATGGACGAGGAAACCGGCCACTGTCCTCTCAAGGCACAACACAGACGCACTCGCAGGTGAGTCGTTGAAACCTGCTTCCCGATGCCGCGCCAGCACAGCCTCCAGAAGCCACTCTTTCTCCCCAACACGCCGACAGCAGCGCCCCTCGCCACGGCCCACGGCACAGCTGGGGCTCCGACCCCGCAGCGTCTGTCAGGTGCCGGCTGCGCCTGCCGGGTCCCTGTCCACCAGGAGAGCGAGATCGCGCAGCAGAATCCG